TACTTCTCTTTAAGAAAGGCGGAATCATACGATTATGTTTCTAATAAGATGACCTTAATGGGGTACAACTAACTAGCTGCTATTTCACACAATCGACTTGCGTTAAAGTATTGCACAATGCATCTTCTTGCATATCATTTAATGACCCAAGAGAAAACGAGGTAAAGCATCGCTACCCGTTACTAGATCATTTATTACATAACCGCGGACAATGAGGCTTCCCCTTACCACGTAGCTGACAGGAACAGCGCCCTCCTGATCCCCTCTAAATCTGCTAATATCATAGAGGAGAACTCTGAGGAGCAAAGCACGTTGACATAGCGGCAGAAGAGACATAGATCGCAGAGGGCGAAAGGGTCCAGAGACTGTCCGTTATAGCTGCCGCAATGGTCAAGTTTACCATTTTTTATTATAAGCTTAAATGAAATTTGACGAAAAATGAAACAAGATGGTGAAAAAATTATTAATTTATCTCTAAAAACAAAAAAGTTACAGCCTATCAAAGTTGCGCCCCGCGAGAATATTTTTGTTTCGTTTGAACGCGAAGCGTGACGTCACATTTCACTATCCAGTTGCGACGACCGTGGTCACACATAGGTACACACTAAAGTTCGAACAGCCTAAGGTTATGCCCGCTACGTCATCACTTTATACCCTCTCCCTTGCGTCGATTGTACCCAATAAGAATATAGGAAATTGTTGTGACAGTCTCTGGTAAGATTTATGGACATCTGTTACCGCCCTCTTAATGTGGTCCAGTTCTAATCGTGGCGAATATTTATATCGTAGAAAGCTTAAAAATGTATGTGGTCTTCAATGTCCAGAAATGATGTTGCTGTTGACGCTGTTAAGGGACATCCCACTCTCAGTAAGCCATAGGCGGAACGTTTTTTAGTATGTAGATACCCAAGTTTCAGTCAGTTGAGATTGTTGACACAATTGCGATCTGATGAGACGTTTGTTCGATTTATTTATTTTTTTATTTATTAACCATATCATATTTTATATTTGATTGTGTTGAAAATTATTAATCTTATGGGATTTGTGGATATTTGATGGAGATCCATAAATCAAAATATAAAATAGTGAGCAGGTACCTACATATAATAGACACAATATTGAAGGGTAAAACCCCAAAGTTGGCAAACAACTGAAAGTAATTAAATTAATCCTAAGACTGTGATCCGCTTATATCTATACCAATCATGAGATTTCCTAGAGTGCATCATTAGTACTTAGATAAATAGGCTAATACCAATATCAAACGTAGGTAAACAAAATTAGTAGAAACAAATCTAATAATAACAAGTGTAAAATTGAACTACCTGGAATAATTCCCGGTTGCTAAATCCCTTCGTTCGTAAGTAGCGTTAAGACGATGAGTGTTAATTAATCACATTTATTTTACCTGCAATAGATATATAAACCTGTCCGTTAGTCATAAGTTCAGTTTGTCAACTAATTTGAACAAGGCACCGTGTGTAAAAATGGTCAAATAGATTGCAATATAGTGGAAATTTTTACTATTGTTCAAATTTAAATTATTAATAGTTTTGAACCAGTGATCTAAACAATGTCTGTGAAAGAGATTGGCGTGAAAGGAAAGGCGATTGGGAGTCAAGGAAATTAAATTATCAACAATGTCAATAACTTCATGGTACAGGAAAGTGTAGAGGGATTAAAGTTTCCACTTCAACAATACCGGTATGTATGAATGTAAAAGATTTTTATAATTATTGTCAAATAAAACTGATTAACCCATTTAGGAAACGTGTGTTAGCTGCCACGGGTATAAGTAAATGTACTTATCAAAAAATAGCTAAAGAGAGCAGAGATGGAATATATTCATTCATTTTCATCCCCGTCTAAAAAGCGGCAACGAAAATCACCTGTTGTGGATAAAGTGGCTGCAGGCCAAATTGAAGAAATGAAAGCAATCATATACGATTTTTATATTTTGGAGAAAAGAAGACCTTCGCTGAAATGTAAGTTTTTAAATTGTAACCGTAGCATCTAGTCATATTTCATTTTAAGATTTTTTAGGTATTTACCAAAAAATGCAAGATCAACAACTCAATTTTGAGGGTAAAATAACGACTTTGAACAAACTTTTGAAACAAATGGGCTTTAGGTCAGTATTCATACACACTATAAGGTTTTCGATTTACAACGCTATAAATATAATTTATATCTACAGATGGAAAAGAACTACTGATAATAAAAAAGCTCTTATGGAAAAATATGAAATTCGCTTGAAGCGTATCGAATATCTGAAGCAAATTATGAAATATAGAGATGAGAACAGGAACATAATTTATACGGATGAAACATATATACATTCTAGTCATACCCCAAAAAAAGGATGGTCAGATGACAATTATGACAAGGAACTAAAAACGCCTTTATCAAAAGGACAACGAATGATTATTGTGCATGCTGGTGGAGAATTCGGCTTTGTTCCTAACGCCTTGTTGATATTTAAATCAGGTATTATTTGTGTTACAATGATGTAAAATATTTCCAATATATTTTTACATTTACTGGAATATATGTATGTATTTTATTTTCAGGCTCAAAATCTGGGGACTACCACAACGACATGAATCATTTGAACTTCATGAAATGGGTAGAAAGCCAATTGATCCCAAATTTGCCTGAAAATTCTGTGCTTGTAGTTGACAACGCTTCTTATCACAATGTCCTGGAAGAAAAAATGTAACCTCTTCTAGCCTGAAATCAGAGATGATTGACTGTCTAGAAAAACATCAAATTCCTAGTAAAAACTCATTGACTAAGGCCGAACTATATAAAAAATACAGGAAAATAAAATAATATTTCCAGTCAAATACAAGCTAGATGCCTCAATGGAACAGTACGACTGCCTCCATATCATCCGGAGCTACACCCAATCGAGAAGATTTGGGCTCTCGTAAAAAACTGGGTTGCTCCACGAAAAGTGACATTTAGGTTGTCTGATGTGGAGCATCTGACCCGTAGTAGGTTTGAAGAAATTGGAGCAGATGAGTGGAAGAAAATTTGTAACCACGTGAAAAACAAATGGAAAAAGAACATCTTCTCGACGATCAAATGGATAGGTATCAATTCACTGTGAAGACAGGGTCATCATCAGAAGATAGTGACGAAAGCGACTCAAATGAAGATTTGGAGCTAAACACACTGTCATCTGATAGCGATTAGATTTTTTAATGATAATATACAATTTGAATTATAACCGTCTTTAGTTTGCTCCCTCTTCTAATTCAAATTTGCTTCCGAACAACTTAATGCGCATACTAAATGAATATAATAATACAAAATCAATTAATGATCAATGTCTACACAACCTATTCACTTTATTTTATACTTCAAATAAAATAGAACGCCACTGCGCTCTGTCGACGACCTCGTGATGAGCGGACCCGCCCACGATGACGTAGCGGTCATATTCTTAGAGCGTTCGAACCATACACATACATCGGGAACACGTAGTAGGCTAAACGTCTTTCGCGCCGATTTGTTTAATTAGTTGACTGCATATATACGATCGGTTATGAGCGAAACAACAAAAACAGGTTGTTATAAATACTGTATCGTTCCAAAATATACGAGCACAACAATTACAACCCCTAATAAAATTTTTTTTTACGTACCCTCACATGATAATATCAGGAAGAAATGGTGCAAACTTATGAAGCGTGATTTGATTGGACCAAAAAGTACATCAGATTATGTCTATGAACACCACTTTGATATGGGTATATCACTTTACTATTTATTTATGATAATTAGTTATTTATGATTACCAAGCTCATTTAACTGTACACGCGGCATTTGGCGGAGAATTTATCACCTAATATTACAGATCACTCTTATTTTGTCACTTAACCCCCAGAAAGGCGTCAAGTAGGTTAACTCTGTACTGCATCATGTGCAATGTTATTTATTATATATTGTAATGAGATTTTAGAAAAGTAACACCTTTATCAAATTAGGTTACTCCAAATTTCGACTTCGAATGCCTTTTTGTTATTACAGATTGAGAGTGATACCGAAAATCTGATAAAATATAAACTAATCGGTGGAACATTGAAGCTGAAAGTCCGAATAAACCCTCATAAGTTTGACTTTCCAAAAAGTGTGCGGCCTTTAAGAGAATGTGGAGCATATGAGAAAAGGCGCGAACCATGCTTAGGCGACTTGTTAAAGAACGATGTTCCCTCCACCTCAAGTTGGCAACCATTCGAATTCATTCAGTGTGACTCAACTTACAAAGAATCGAAAGCCTAGAAGATCCACTGCTTGAAGGTTATACTGTATCTGTAGCAGGAGATCATGACACAAAAATGAAACACTAAGAAGTTAATCTTGCATCTCTACGCTTGTATCTGTAAAGTAAGCCATTACTTGGATCTTATTAAGTTTTATTCGTTTACATTCACTAATGAGTCTAGAAGTTAGAATCCTCCACTACGTCTAAACTTCCACTTTCATCCCTACCTGCCTGGAAAATATCGTGTCATATTCGCAAATCTGTACTCATATCAGGTATCAAAACTAATTTGTTTAAAACCTTAGTAGGGTATCGAACATTTTACAGCTAGTTGTGATAGTGACAGTTATAACCTCCAGGTCTCTCATCAGAGAGGCAGTCGTATGTAATGGGGATAATGTTGGAGCCAAGATCCTGGGCAACACCCGCATCGACACTGTGGGATTGGGAGAAGAACCCGTCGATTACCATGGATATTTTGCGGCCAGACACGAAGGTGGCCACCCATCTGCAAAGTTTCTCTAGGAGGCCAAAGGATGGAGGGAAGCAAGCCACAGCTGATCGAATGCTTTCGCTATAAATTTATCAAGAGCAACGAGACGAGTTTTTTGACCCACTGTTTTGCAGATCATTTGAAGCTTCTAGGATTGAGATGTTCTACTACCACTGATATGGCAAACAATAAAATAGACAATAAGTAGCTGGGCGACGAATTTTACCAAAACCTTACCGTTAAGTTGACATTGCAAATTGCTGGACCAGACAGGAGCAACCTAACGATATCTGGGTTACCAGACCAGGCGGCCAGATGCAATGGAGATGATCCTTTACTATCGACGATGTTGGGCGAAGCATCGTGTTCCAATAGTAACTTGACGATCTCCCTGCAAAGTTAAAAATAAATATTTATACATAAGGACTCCAGTATTAAAAATTTAGCTAATTTTTCAATATTCCCTGATCACATCTTACATTTACGAAATATCAAACCTATTATATAAGGATAAACAAATCTAATCAAACAAAAAACATGGCCTTTGAAGCAATTAGGAAGTTTCCTACAGTCGAAAATACTGATAGTTTCACTTGCATATACTACAACTGGTATCTTTCAAAAATCTGAGAGTTATTCCGACAACTTAAAATTTAAGGAAATTATAGAATTTTCTGTGTTGGGTGCTGGAGACCATCGCCCTTGCGCGACGAGACTCGGTCGTGACGTCACATGACTTAAGTTCGGCTTCTGAGCCACGGCAGCGCTCAAGCTGATCAGTCGCAATATATTGTTTGTATCTTGGCATAGGCTGCTGTACGATATTATAGATATACAATAAATAAAATGGAATAGAGTTTTCTGCGTACCGATCCCACTAAACCTCCAACGGTGGATATAATGATGGTTAATGGTCATATACACTATGCGAAACATTTGTGCTTTGCCAGGCATTCACATTTATGATTAAGCTCACACGCAATCGACGTTACAGTAGTTCAAAGGTTCAAATGTAAAATTAGAAAGATTCACTAAATTTTACAATAAATACTCGTAACACAAAAGTCAAAATGGCAGCTTTAATATGATGCATATCGTTGCAAAAAATGTTTTGAATGTGCGCAAAATTAGGTTTCAGATGTTTTCAAGACCGCTAGTAAAGAATTACATATTGAATCTTAAAAAATCTAAATGGCGAATCCCGTATCACGACTGTTTGCAAAACATTGTCGATTGCACTCAAATTACAGTTTTATATGTTTTCAATCTATAATTTAAGATTTATTGTATAATGTCGCATAACTGCCAAACTTGCAGTCAGCTGCAGCCAATTGACATATATCTTAACTGGATGTCTGATAAACATGCTACCTTCTGGAATAGCGCGGACCCTAAAGGGCTTTTTTCAATTACATATTGTTATCGTATAGTGTCATGTGCCGATTGGCAAGTAATACAATGCAATATCACAATAACTATAAATATACTTCTTTCGAAGGTTGTTTTTTAAAATCAGTCGAATCGGTTTCAAGAAAATTAGAAAAATCTTTATTTATCCTAACTTTTTCAGATAGAAAACTAAAACACTCGCTAATATTACGTTTTATCTCAATAAATGTTCAAAATGTTGCCCGTTAGGGTTTGCCAAATCTACAATTCGTTTATGATTTGAAACGGAAACTACCAACATAAACAGCAATTCGGAAGATTAGATGGCGACAACCAAATAACAATCCGAATCTTTTTCCGCATTCTTCTCAACACAGATGCCCTGGGCCAACTGTATTTATTGTTATACCTGTTTAAGTATTTGTTGCTAAGGGAAAGAATGAATTTAATTTGCTGTCAGATACCTTTGTGACAATCTTGGGATTGTGAAACTTAATTTATTGATTCAGATTTTAGTTCCAAAGTGGTTTACACACTCTCCGAAAGAGTGGAAAAGATTCTAATTCATGGTGCCCAAAATCTATCTGCTCGGCAAAATACGTCAAGTTTAACGCCAGACATCCGGGGAAGATAATTTCGCATAGGTATGTTTTGGACTTGTTACTAAATTTACTCAAACTGGATCTGTTCCTCATAAAAAACGTTATTATTGGAGAGTTTTGGATAAAGCCGCTCAGGTTGAAGTTTTGGGTCATTTTGGAATAAATCCTAATACTTCATTACGCAAAATTGTTGCTGCGACTGCCATTTCATTGGCTCTGTACACGCAGTTACTAAACTCCATGAATTTCATTCATTCAAAATGAAAATATTGCAAGACTTAACCGAAGATGATTTCGATAGGCCAGTTGAGTTTTGTGAACAAATGACTGCAGCGATTAATGACAATACCATTCAGGTAAAGAATATCTGCTTCAGTGATGAATGCACATTTTATCTAAATGGATTTGTTAATGAGCATAACTGCAGGTATTGGAGCAATGAAAATCCTGATGCTCTTGTAGAAGGGCATACCCAGTACCCCCAAAAAATTAATGTGTGGGCAGGCATTTTAGAAAGCAAAGTGATTGGCTCATTGTTTAGTAATGGAAATTTGAATGGAGACATTTATTTGGATATGTTGGAAATACCATCAATCCGCTTATCACTGAAACCATTGAAAACCAAATCGAAGAGGATAGGAACCCGATACTTGATAAGGCTGAAATATGTTTCCAGCAAGATAGCGCTCCTCCTCACTATGTTCTTCCGGTTCGGCAATGACTACCGAATGGACTGCTACATCTCCTGATTTGACGCCATTAGACTTTTTCTATGGGGCCATTTAAAATCTATTGTGTTTACTCCCCAACCTGAAAGTTAATTGAATATATCCTCCAGGAATTTGAACATCGCCTAAATCATTGTTTGGCCAATAACGGGCAACATTTTGAAAACTTATTGAAATAAAAAGTGATATTTTCGTGTTTTTGTTTTCTATCTGAACAAATTAAGATAAAGATTTTTATAATTTTCTTGAAAACGAATCGACCGATTTTAAGAAATCAAACGTCAAAATAAAGGGCTTCGAAATACCTTTCAAACAAGCTATTACTCGATACCCCTTCTCATTTAAAATGTGGCGTTTTTTCTTTAATTCACTGGTTTTCCGAAAAGTTGTGGTGGGGACTTTTCATATAAACACCATGTATACATACACAATACAGCTGATTAAAGACATTCGATTATACATTTTTGCACTTTTGGCCAGGTTTATTTTCCTGAATGCATCTCCATTTCGACAGACATGGTTCAAGGGGTATTCGCCCTCCAGCCACAACTTGACCACTATCAAAATATTCACATTATCTCGAAATAAAGCAATAATCAAATATGTCTCGTTTACACCCATTAGGTTATCTTTCCATCATAATATCAATATTTATTTTGATCCTGTTTACCATAGTAACTAAATATCTACTAACCCCAAAATATTTACACAATTACAATGATATTTCCGAAAGAGTTCTGGCACGGGTAAATACTTGTATGTTTTCTGGAACTGTTATGCTCATATTTGTCAGTGTCACCCTCCGACGAAATACTATAATTCTCCAAATAATAAACTTCTGGGTAGCGTAGCTTTGTCATTTTTTAAGACATTAGATAAATGTCAATGCTGTACTTCACTTACTTAGACTATCGTTTTAAGAATGTTTCAAAAAATAGAAAACTTCCTCAGGTGAGTAGCATGCCTTGCAAATAATACTTACGTATGTCCATTAAGAGCTGCATGATGAAGAGCCGAGTACCCACTGCTATCTTGGACATTAGCACCTGGCCCCCTCCGCAAACTGTAACAAAGAATACGATACTGCTCATGGAACATAATTGCAATAAAATTATTTGAAACTCAAAAAATTTAGTTTCAGATGCATCCCGATATACTCATTTCTTACACCCATGATCGATGAATCAAAGTATCTCTTGGAAAAACTGTTTTAATATTTCTGGAGCACTATATTGAGACATAGTGCGTGAATCTAGTTAATAAGAAGTTTTAACGTGCGTCCCTGTCGAAACACGGGTGAATTTACGAAAAAAATTATACTGATCTATGAAGGCGAAGATACTGATTCAAAATCTGACATATTGTGTAATGAGCTTAGCGTAGCATGTTGATTTGACAAAAACCTTTCAATACCAAAAGGTATTGAAAACACGCAATATTCGAAATTGCAATAGCTAAGGGAATTGAAGAAATCTAATTCGAGTTTTCAGCGTTCATACCACACCAATTTTGATTCTATATTGAATGCATCCAATGTCATTTAGTACAACGTCATTCTGTTTAATTGTCATTACATTTTTCCCTTTTCAATTGGAGGTGCAAGGAAGATATAGAGATTCCTACAGGCTGAATGATACAGTTCTATAAATAAGGATGACTGTCGAAAAAATAGAACTGTCGGATCCAACGACCTTAAATCACTCTCACCCAGGCTCTTACCCACCAATAAAAGAAAGGTCGTCGGCTTTAGAAATCCAATTAGTAGCTGGCACGTTCCTTGATATCCGCGGACCCATGGTCGTACGCCAATATCAGTCACAGTATACAGACTCAGGGATAGTAGGACCATTGAAGGAAAGCTTTTCATAATAAGACCAATGACACCAAACTCCCAGAAGTCATTATAATTTTAAGCGACGGACATAGATCAGGTCAACTTGCTAAACATTTTTCCGGGTACCTGTTTTATTAAACGTCAAATTTGGAAATATGACTTTTTCATGTGAATTCAAAAAACTATCAAGTAATTACGCAGGGTTTTTGGTAGATTAACAGAACAATTTTTTGCGAAAGTGGGGACGCTGTTTGATGATTTTTAGTGCAAACTGTAATGCTCTAACTTTGGAACCCAGTAGGTATAACTTACGTCATTTCTCTAAGCAATATTATTATTTTAACCAGTTTTTTTTTTCATTACCTTTTTAGCAAAAATTCATTTACCATCTAAATATAATTCCCCTCTATACTGCACATTTTCTTTATTGGCTGTTAAGGTCGATTTATAAAGTCTGACGGTCCGGACCGCTGCCGCACCGTTGAATCATGCTCTGTTTATAAACAGGAATTCCGCAACGTTTGTCCGCAACGGTGACGCTAGACCTGACGACGATTCTACTTTTTGCCGTGGCCGTTCACGGTTTAACCAATGAAAGGGAAACTGCGAATCACGTATTTGTTGCCAGATTGGCTAGTTTCAGTGTTTGCGTTCTTTTCGGTCTGTTTGACATTGTCATGTTTTGTTTTGCTTTTGAGGTCGGCGTGGCTTTTTTGCGATTGTTTTGCTATATTTTATTTGGTTTATTTAAATAATTATATGAATTATCAGGATATGTGTGTTACAAGTGTTGAAGATACTGGATCTGGTTTTGTGGGTACGGAGACAATATATACTTTCATCCTTCTGTAATATTGATAATTTTCTTAATATATTTACAGGTCCAATTTTTAATCCGCCTTGTTTGTAGCTCTCGCAGTTTTTCGTCTTCAAAGCTCCAAGTATGCGAACAGTAACGCAAAGGATTGCAAGGCGTGAGGATCATTCACTTAATCCATTTTTGAAAAATCCAAGACACACACGGAGTAAAAAAAACAACATAAGTGATTTTACCTAGCAGCACCTGTCATCTGACAGCCAGAATGATCTGCAGACGAGTTTGGTCTTCAAGTATGAAGAAAAAATGCGATGGATTAGGTTATACGTCAGCAAGTTTATAAAATGCTTTTAACTGCCGGAGGCAGCGTTAGTGTAACGATACGTCAAGGTACGAGTTTATAAATCGACCTTTAATATTCAGCATCTGTCAGTCTTAGCAAGTGACACTGCTACACTTGAGTCTGCATACTAAACGGATATCAGTCAAGGGTGGATACAGGCGTCTATATGAGATTTAGGGATTAATAATTTTTAAGTGTTTGCACGACGATTTAATCCGGTGATATTGAAGGGAAATAGTGACACCCTTTATTATTGGCTCTCAGTGGCGATAACGGCCGAGAATAATGGACGTTATTACTTTTTGAAGAGTTTAGTGCAGGGTGTAGGAAATAATTGCAGACCTTTTCGGATTATTCCGTCATCTACTTGAGACGCATCAGTTATTTCTGAATCTGAATCATATGCTTCTAGGGTGATAAAAGTGAAGCAGCATTTGTTAGTCGCACGTTCAGAGCATGTTGAACTGCCTCGATTTCAATCTATTTCCTAACTGTAGTGACTTTTTCATAACTGAAGGTAAATTTTAAATACCTGCAGTTACGAGTAAAAAGAGTTTGATGATTTGAGCTTGGTAAATTCTAGAGATCTCTATTTCTGGTCGATTATCATCGATACGATCGATCGAAAAAATGCGTACCGGTCAGTCCTTGATCTAGGCATGGAGTCTTCTTTTTCTGTTCGTCACAGTCTGTCAGGGCCGTCTGTTATGGTTAAGATATTTGGAATATGTAGGAAGTCCGCGCCTAGTTATTATTGGTATTTCTAATAACTTGAATTTTTCGCGTATTTTTTGGGCTATAGCATCACAAAGTATTACACTCGTCTGGTCGGCCTAAGAAAATTTGCCACGCCTTTTTTATGAATAAGAGGAAATTGTGGTATGATTCCCCTTTCCTTTTTTTATTAGTTAATAAATTGATAAATCACTATAAATGAAATCTAAGGATTAGCCAATGCAAAACAGCTGCCAAGTGGCGTGCAAACTTAGGCCCTAGCTTATTAAAGCGGAGAGTAGGGGGGGGGTAAAGAGCGCCAGTGACTCAAGACGGATTAAGCAACAAATCCCCGAATTGTTAGTCGGAATTTGTTTTGCCTGACCACCGCACAAAGAAAAACCTAATTAACTGTATACAGAGAGCCAAATAAAACAAGATATTAATTAAAAGAATCAAAATGTATTGTCAAAACAAGCAGCAGATATATGCTCTACCACTGCAGTGCATGTTAAAAAAAATATATTATTCAAAACCACCTGACAATAAAATTATTAGATCGTAATAACTAACCCTGCAAAACGTTTACCATGGTACACGTACAAAGGCTTTACAAATAGGGGTTTTACAAATAATTTAACGCCTAAAGCTAAACTTATCTGGAATGGTCTTCTTCCAGTTACAACTCTAGGCGCGGCTGAGATGCCGTCAGCTCACAAATGCTCAGGTCAAAAACCAGTGGCCAGTAGTGAGCAGTGGAAGTAAGGAACGCTTGCCTCGTTCTCAAAATTTACGGTATAAAAAAACCCTAGAGAGAGAAAGACTGTTTAAAAATCTACTATCTCTTCTCTGTCTGAGACATTTAAAACACTCAAAACTTGAAGAAAAATCCATGTACATTCTCTTTTACAAGAAAACTACTTTTCTTTCTGCAAGGGCAAGGAAAGATAAAAATTTACTAAAGTGATACACCCTCAGAAAGTTACCCCTTGTTCTAAAATAACTTATGGCAGCTCAAAATTCATAATCATGATCAATGTAATGTAGTAAGCCCAAAAGACGGTGATATACAGGCACTGCCACATATTTGAATATGTAAAATGTCAAAGAAAATCAAGAACACTCTAAGAATTTCAGTCAGCAAGAATCAATATATTAATATCTATGAAATACCCATTTAAAATGATTTTACCTATTCACTTCTGGGTCTTTTGTCAAAGGGAAGGGATGGCTTCCAACAAAATCGGCTGGGAAACAGCTACAAGGCAGCTACAAAACAAAGCTGGAGGAGTGTGGATGGTGATTCTCCGCAATGGCTTTCCACTTAAAGGGCGCAGATGTGGAACAAACTTCTTCAGGACAAGCACTAATGGACATATTCCGGTGGTATACAAAAGAGGACTTACCGCTGGAGGATAAAATCCCATTACAAAGTGGACGGGTAGTACCCAAACCAACACAACTAAACGTAAAGTACAAAATAAAAGGGTACTGGTGTTTGGAGCGTTAATATCCCAAAATCTTGAAGTTAAGGAAAAAACGGCCACACACAACCAAAACTACAGCAGAAAGAAAAAAATGGCGCTGGACAGTCTGCGCACGCAACCCCCTAAAAGAAGGTTAAATAACTGGCCCTGAAAAAGGCTCGTTCGATAGAAAATCAAAAGGAACAGATAAAAGCCAGTAAAGAGGGTATTTTGATAGTAAAGCAACTTTTGTAGAAGGTATCTTGATAGGAAGGTAAACATTCATATAAGGCTAATACGTGTAGACATCACAAGGTGGCGCGCTGGTTGCCAATGGGCAGACTGTAGACAGAACCAAATCTGTTTACGAGGGACCAACAATATTTTATGAGGAATTTTCTCAGATAGTCGTTAATAATACTAAATCATTAGTGTCCAAAAGATGTCAACAGTCGCTGAGAATGACAGATATAATACGTGAAAAATTATACACTCAATAAACTATGACGTTTGCCAAAAGAAAATCCTTAAAAAGGGCTTGGTCTAGGAATTGGCACTCTACTATTGATAAAGAGAAATTCAAACTACTGATAAGTGATCAAAATTCTAGAAAAAATAGGTTACGTATTTTGCCACGTGAAATAAATCGGCATTTTTCGGAGTGCCCTAGTGGTTTATCATTTAAAAAGTAATTACTACGTGTGACCTTTCCTGAACGTGACCCACGGCGACGTGTAAAACGAGTTTGGTTGAAACAATATCCAACGAAACCTGTGGCTGGACAAAGAAATGTTTAGCGAAACGTGCTGTTAGCCATCTCCGGATAGATGACTGCAAAACATGTCTGACGTAAAAGCGAAATGAACTGTGAGACATCCAGCTTGATTTC